TCTTATAATTTAAAATGTCTTTTTTTTCTTTCAAGGTAGTTCAAGTGATATTGAAGACTTGAATACGTTTGTTACAACAGGTATACATTTTTTCTTCGTTTTTGTATATAATTATTGATACACTTTGATGTGTAAATATATCGGTAAAAAAATTATGTTCAATAAATTTTGATAGGTTCACAGGTATTAGATTTCAATTCAATTTTCTAAGTTGTTTGAAATTGTTTTTAAATATTAAGTCTAGATTTGGGTGGAAGATCTACAATACAGTCTACTTTATTTTATGGTGGTAATTTTTTTTTAATAACTCTAATAAAAATAAGGATTTAATTAAATATTTATAGGATTGAATTTGTTTACAAAGAAAAGTATTATGGAAATAGCATCTTCTCAATTGCTAAAATCTATTTATTCTGGTCAAGTAAGTATCTTACTTAAGTTTGTAAGTATCTTACTTAAGCTGGGATAGCTCAGTAGGATAGCGCGCTTCTATTATTGTGATTTATCAATTGCCGTAGTAGTAGGATTGCAGATTCAAATATCATTTTTGCCAGCTCAGGGTACTATTTAATTATCTCTTCTATTATAAATTTTTTTTCTTTACTAGTAAGCAAATAATCTAGTTGAGTAAATAAGCGTTATTGTTTATCCTTTTATCATAAAACGTTTATTGTCTATACCTAAAACAAACTTTAAAGTCTAGAGAGTTCTTTAAATACTGTGTTCTTAAAAATATATTTCAACATTTGTTTATTTTTTGTGAGTTGTTCAAACATCAGTTTGGAAACAAAATGATGAGTAATATTTTAATGTAAATATTTTGCAATATTTTATTTTTATTCAAGTATTCAATTTTAAATACTTGAAATCAAATAGTTTTAACTTCAACTAATCGACTTTTAGTCAAAATTAATAACAACTTACTAATGCTAAATCCTTAAATAGTATTTTTGTATTTTATGTTCAGTTATACAGTTACAGACATAACTGGTTTATTATTTTTATATAATACAAACTTTTATTATAGATAAAAGTTTGTATTATATAAAAATATAGGACTTAACACTCTATTATTTCATTTGTTTTATTTTTTTTTATTTATTTATTTTCTGATTATTTGAAATGTTTTTACATTTCTATTTATTTATTTAGAAAATCTTTCTAACGGAGATCTCCTTAGTCTATTGTCAGAAGATCAATCACATGATCTTTTTAATGCTTTTGTTTTAGCTTTTAACAAGTTGAAGGTAATCATAATCTGTAATATTATTCAATTATTCATTTCTAAACAAAGTCATTTTAAACTCATTGTTTGAATAATACTCCCTTTTCCAGTATTAATTTTTGTCATATATGTAATGATCTTTTTAGGATAGTGACTATGTATTTAAAGTTTAAATGCCTGAATCAATTGTATTTTTATTTGCTAACGCTAGTAATGTGTCAAGAATAAAAGTAATCTAAAATCTGAATATTTAAATCTTCGTTTTTCAATTTCTTATTCTATTGAATAATTATTTATATAATTAAATATTATTTATTTATATAATTAAATGTTAATTATTTATATAATTAAATATTATTTATATAATTAAATATTATTTATTTATATAATTAAATATTATTTATTTATATAATTAAATTTTATTTATTTATATAATTAAATAATGTTATTTTAGATTTTGTTATTATTTATTTTAATAATACAATTTGTAATGATATTTTTGCCTATTCTTGATTTAGGCTGAAGTAGCTCTGAGTGCTTACATTTCTGAAAGGTAATACAAAATTTATGGTTTTTTTTTTTTTTTTTTTTTTTTTTTTTTTTGATTTTTGATTTTTGATTTAAACTTATTAACCATTATTACTTATTACTATATAATTAATAATTTTTCTTTTCTTTTTAGAGATAAAAAACGTTTCTGTAGCTCACCAGAAGCATATTGTAGGACTAGTAAGACTGGTATTCAATCAATATTTACTTTTCATTTAATATTTGTAGCAACAAGTTGTAGGAATAAGTTATTTTTTATTATTCAAACGCTCAACACTCAGAAAGAAAAAAACTAAAGTCTGCGAAAAATTGCCGATCTTAAACTGTTTTAGGTTGGCATCAGGTCAGCAATTACATTTATTCACAAAAGTTCCATCATAAAAAGTATTGACAGTTAGGTCGGCTTTTCCAAATGCTGACCCTAAATCCAAGGGCTGTTCACCAATACTTTCAAAATTTTAAAAAATATTAAATAATTGAAATATTTAGCTGACAACGAAATAAGAATATTGTTTATATCTTTTTCATTTTTTTTTAGATGTAGATTTTTCAGTTTCAATATATTCTGAAAATCAATTAATAAATGTAAGAACTTTAAAGTCAAATTTATTGAAGCAATTCAATATATTTTATAAAATATATTTTAGTCACTACTTGAAAAAAACCCCAGGGTACACCTCTGGTGTGTGTGTATATATTTATGTATTTATATATACATAGGGTGTTAGCCAGGAATACATTTTATACCGCATTTTTGCGGTATTGGAAATATTTTTTGTTTTTCTGCAAATTATTGGGTATTTTAAAGAAATTGTCCCAAAAAAGTAAATAAAAAAATAAAATTATTGGTTTTTTGGAATTTTAAACCATTGGGAATTCCACGTTATACTCGGCACCATTGGGCTAGCTAACACTGTGTGTGTGTGTGTGTATATATATATATATATATATATATATATATATATATATATATATATATATATATATATATATATATATATATATATATATATATATATATATATATATACATTCATATATATACATTCATATATATATATTCATATATATATATATATATATATATATATATATTATTTTTATTAATTTTAACTTTTTTTTTCAGAAATCCTTTGAAGATATTGGCAAATCATCTAAAAGTTCTAATGATTTAGATATAAAGACAACTATTATGATTGGTGAACCACCTGGATGTTCAGCAAATGTGAGTTGTGTGTTTGTACCTATGTGTGTGTATATATATATATATATATATATATATATATATATATATATATATATATATATATATATATATATATATATATATATATATATATATATATATATACATACAGGCGCAGATACAGGGGAAGGGGGATAATGTGGGTAATGCATTACCCCCACCAGACTTTCAATTATTTTTTTTACTCGAACGAATGCGTTGTGGTGGTTTCAATCAAAACGTTTTAAAGCTTAATCAAATTGGCTGCCGTTTTGCACATGAGTTCCAGTATTTGTGTGTTGAATCGCCTTGTTTTAAAATCGCCTGTATTTACTATCTTAACATACTATGGAATATTACTAAATATACTTAATATACTAAAAAGGCGTAAGATGACAGACTATTTTCAACAAAAGTAACAGTTTTTTTATAAAATGTAAAAGTTTTTTTTCAGTTGTATTTTATTTGTTTATGTAAAGTAACTAAAGCTAATGTTTTCCAATGTCCACACAAAATTGGTTTTGTATTGACATTTGACAATTAACTTTACACTTTACGCAACTCGTGTACTCAATTACACTAATAATTAGTGTGATAAAAAGTGACTAATTCAAAAGTAAAAAGTGAACTAGAAATAAAAAGTGACTAAATCACAAATTCATCCTGACTTACAGTTGCGGTGATGCTACAAAATGTTAGAAGGGTATTCACCGTGTTCTTTTTTGTTTATTTTCCAGTCCTACAACTACAATAGTTGACGACGTCAGTCAAGTGAGTTTACCCAGTGGTTCACTACCTAAAATTCTGCAGTCGTCACCACTAATTTGTAATCAATTGATATTAATAAACCTATTGTATAATAATTTATATGCCTGTCTCACATAAATTTTTGGGAGGGGGATACCCCATCCAAAACCCTCCCCTAAGTAAACCTCCAAACATTACCCCCACCACTGAATCCTGGATCCGCTGCTGTATGTATATATATATATATATATATATATATATATATATATATATATATATATATATATATATATATATATATATATATATATATATATATATATATATATATATATAACAGGTGATAAAAACGAATCAGTTGGTATCAATTATAATTGTGACAGTAGCAGTATATGCTTTACATTGCAGATTATATAAATTGTTAATTTACTTGTTAAAAAATGTTTTTAGATTCGGTAACTATATTAGAAGCTTATAATGATTTTTTTTCTTATTCAGATAACAGGTGATAAAAACGAATCATCCGATTGTAAAAAAAAATGCTTTAACTCTTTCATAGTGGCATTTATGTCACTATGGAAAACCATCCAAACCACACAAACATGGATATAAAATTTAAACCTTTTCTAATACATTTTTTTTTAACATTTAGGATGAGGTTATTTGGAAAGTGGGACAAAAGTTTACAAGTATTAAATTGGTAGAGGCTTGTAAAACTAATTATGAGTTAAAACGACATTGTCAACTTGTGAAGAGTAAAGTAAGATCTTTAGAAGCTGCTAAAAAGAGAATTCCTAAACGAATTGCTTTAGCTAATATGGCATTGCACTACCAAACTTTACAGTTTGTTTGCAAGTTTAGTGGAAAGTCGAGTCAGCCAGAATTAGAAAGAAAGAGAAAAACTAAATCCTTCCGTTGTGGTTGTCCATTTGAAATTGTGCTGGAACTTTCAGTTGACAATCAGCACCTACAAGTGGTGCGTGTACAAGAAGAACACAATCATCTGGTTTCTCAGGAACTGTACGAACACTTGCCTAAACAAAGAACTGTATCTCCAGATATGATGAAAAACGTTAAAGAGGCGATTTAGTTGAAAGCAAATAGCAAACATCTACAGCAAAAGATTGAGTTATTGTCTGGCAAAAAATGCATATTAAAAGATATTGCTAACCTTCGTCAATATTCTAAAGTTTCATTTTCTGATAATGAAATATATGACATTGCAGAATTTCTCAAACAACGAAAAGGATCTGGTTGAAGTTCTTGTTGATTCTGATAAAAAGTTCAAGGGGCTTTTTTTTCAGGACTCACAAATGCAGAAGATGTACGAAAGGTACCCAGAGATACTTTTTGTAGATGCTACGTACCAGCTACTGGGGTTACGCATGCCTATTTATTTAATGATTGTAATAGATGGAGATGGCCAAAATGAGATTGTGGCTTTGTTTATACTAGCCGAGGAAACAAAACCAATTGTTACAGAGGTGGTGCAAATTTTTAAAAAACACAACGGCTATTGGAAAAATACACGTGTAGTGATGTCGGATAAAGACTTTACAGAAAGAGAAGCTTTTGCTGTAGCCTTTCCTGCCGCCATGTTATTAATTTGTTTGTATCATTGGTAAGACTTATTTTAATTTTTTTCGAAACCATTTTTAGATAACCGTTTTGGGTAAGTTTTCTTTCTGTAAATAAAATGAGTTTTTAGTTTATCTATTTATTTTTGATCAGTAGCACATTACGCCCATATCTGTTTTTAAATTTTAGTTATTTTTTGTATGAAGTTTATCACTGTAAATCATTGTGCTGTCCATGTCCGAGTGTTATTATAGGCATTTGTAATATGCTTAACACTCTAGGCATGCTGATGAGCTCTGATATTGAGCGAAACAGACAAGAGGGTTTAAAAATGTTCAAGTTATTTTCCCCAAATATTTTGTTTTATATTTATGCAAGCTTTAATTTTTGTTTTTACAGTTTACGCTCCTTTCGAAGAGAAATTACTTGCGAGAAAATGGGTTCAAATTTTCTATCACTTCAGCCGATAGAAATCGTTGCCTTGAAATAATTCAAAAAATTGCATATTCTAAATCAAGTATTGTGTACGAGCAGAATAAACAAATGCTTTTAGATACAAAACTAACTGCAGTGACAGAATATTTTGTTAAAAATTGGGATCCTATCAAACACCAATGGGTCACAGCTTATAAAGATCTATATTTTAACCTTGGAGAAACTACTAACAATCGTCTGGAATCGATGTTCAACAAATTAAAATCGGTTTGTACAAAGCATACGAGTATGATGCAATTTTTTATAGAATTTTTTGTATTTCTTGGCGCAATCAGGAATGACAGAAATCACCACCACCTTATGTCTTTGACAAGACACGATATAGCTATACCAAGTCATCCTGATATGATCTTATACAGGGAACATTTAACGCCTTATGCTTTTTCTTTTGTTATTTCACAATTTGAAAAAATTAAAAATGATTCATCTTTTAATTTTGAAAAAAGTGACGAAATTGGAAACTATAACATAAAACATTCTAAGTTTTTGATTGCGTCAAAAGAGTTTTGCAATTGCAGATTCATGTCTAAAATGGAATTACCATGTTACCATTTATTCCAACTGCGCAAGTTTTTGATGCTACCTATGTTTGATGTACAGTTAGTAAATCGAAGATGGACTAAGGAATATTATAATCAATCTCTTCGAGCAAGAAACGATACCAATATAACTTCAAGTGTTGAAATTGTTTCGGAAGTTGATGTAAAACCGGTTAAAGCTTTAACACAAGCACAAAAATATCGAAACTTATTGAAAACTTTTCAGCTATTAGCTTCTGTTGGAAGCGAGGGTGGTATGGTAATTTTCAAAAAAAGACAAGCGCAACTGGAGGTTATATTACGACAATGGCAAAAAGGAGAAGAAGTGACGCTGGTGACAAATGATAATATTATAGAAGTTGATAACGTTGACTTGATGGAATTTGATTGTCACGTCACTAAAACAGGCATTGAGAAGATCAAATCAAGCCCTATCAGTACAAATAAACATATTGATTCTATTAAGACTTTCCCCCTTCTTTCTGAAAAGGATGTTCCTCAAAATCCCGCAAAGTTAGATCTCAAAGAAGTATTAATGCCGCCAAAAATGAAAACCAAAGGCCGGCCGAAAGGGGCTAATACAACAGTTATTGGTGTCCCTAAAAAAAAGAATTATCTGAAACCAATACCATACATTAAGCTATTACCTAAAGATAAAGACAGATTTATTTTAACCCGCATAGTACAGGTTCCAGCTGTTAAATTAGCATTGAGTGGGGGGGGGGGGAAACTAATTTGTTCGTCAGACATCAAAAAATCAGTTTTTTTGCCAGATTCTCTTCGTGATGAGAAATCTTTGGATATAGAGAGGGTAAAAATGTTCTTTAAACCTGCAGCGTGGAAAGTTGTCAAATCTGCAATTATTAGCAAAAAAAAGCAACAATGGATTTGTTCAATTTGTAGGAACATATTGAAAGATGAACAAGTTGCGATTGCTGCTTGTTGTGGAGTCATTTAAAATGCTCTACGCTGCGAAAAACACCTAAAACAAAATATTGGTTTTGTAATAGTTGTAGGTTAGAATCAACATGTTGATAGGGAATAATTTAATACTTAACAATATTACCCGCCCTTTACTTTTGCATATTTTGTCAACCTGATACTTTTTATATAACAAAGAAGATCAAAGTTACGACCAATTAAAAAATGTAAATGTTACTACCTGAAAAAGCTTTACCTAAAGGTAAAAGTTACTGCCTGGTGTGTAGTTTTCATTTTTTATAAACTTGGTACTTTTTACATGAAGGTAAAATTTACTGCCTGGTTTATAGTTTTCATATTTTTTAAACCCGGCACTTTTTACATAAAGGTAAAAGTTACTGCCTGGTTTATAGTTTTTTATATTTTTTAAACCCGGCACTTTTTACATAAAAGTAAAAGTTACTGTCTGGTGTGTAGTTTTACATATTTTACAAACCCGGCACTTTTTACATAAAAAAAAGCAAAGATAAAAGTTACTGCCTGGTGTGTAGTTTTACATATTTTATAAACCCGGCACTTTTTACATAAGAAAAAGCAAAGGTAAAAGTTACTGCCTGGTGTGTAGTTTTTCATATTTTATAAACCCGGCACTTTTTACTCAAGAAGATATATTAGTTTACTCGGTGCCGGGCATGTAGTTTCCGACATTTATAACTCCCGGCATTTTTTCAAATAAAAAGTAACGCATGCGTACTTGAACTGCCGGGCATGTATGTTTTACGTTTTTACTACCCGGCTGCCGGGCATGCAGACGCGGCGTATAGATATATAGATATATATATAGATATGTACATATATATGACAAATGTAAATACATATACATTTGTCATTATTATTTGTGAAAAGAGTTTCGAATGCTATTTTAAATAAAGAAATGTATTTATTGTTGCGGTTATATCATACACTGTGCTTATAAAGAGGACTTTAAGAAAAACTTGAGGTTATTGGTAATTGGGATATCAAAAGCTGCATTGTCAATCTTTAAAAATATCCATAGAGGCTAAAAAGTGACCAATTAGGTTGAATTTGAGTAAAGGATAAGTGTTGTAAAAAAGTCTTAATATTATTTCAAAATTTTATAAATAAAATCCTGAGAAATTTATTAAACTGAAA